GGGGTCCAGGGACCCACAGAGCAGAATCCCCTTCTCCAAACGTCCCTTCTGCTAGAGTTCACCGCGCAGCCAGCCCTGATGTGGGGCCTAAGTACATAAACTCTGTTCTCCCCTTTCTGAAGCATTTGCATTTTACTTTTCTTTCACCGCGGGCCCAATTGTGAACGCTTTAGTCTTATCTCCTCTAAACAGACAGGTTCCAGCTTCCCTGCTCACTGCGCCGGGCCTTCTCCCCAGCGCGGAAGCCTGCGCGTCTCTCTTCTCCGATCTGTGCTTTTCCACCCGTCGCAGTTGCCTCCTCTCCTGCCCACTCTCTTCGGAAACCCGACCCTCCCCGAGCCCCCTCCTCCGCCCCGCCCCCCTCTCTCTAGGTGTCGAAGACAACTCGTTCTCTTTCCACTTTTGATTCCTGTAATGGCGTTCCCATTGCTCCTCAGACAACCGCAGGTCTTGCCCTGCTCCTTTCCCCACTCGTCCCGGTTTCTCAGAGTCCGCGCGCTCTCACCTCCCCGAGGCCTTTCCTTTACTCCTCTACTCCCTGCCTGGCCCCACCCTCTTCTTCAAAACTCCTTGGACTTTTTCTGGGGAGGGAGGAGACTTGACGGGTGCCTTTGGGGCCCTCTCAGCTCTCAGCGAGGGAGACAAGAACTTCTTAGGTCTTAATTTTGGAAAGGTGTGGCTGAGAAACAGGGGTTTTGTTTTTTGCCTGTCGAGAAGTTTGGGACCTTGTAGATGTCCAGGGCGCTTTCCTATACAGGCTCTGCTGCCCGGGCCCAGAGGGCACCCCGGCCTGGGTTGGCTTTTCTATAAAGGGGTGGTGCAGCTGGAAGTTATGTTGGCTCCTGTTTGAACCCAAGGCCAGGTCCCTCTTCCAGGGCAGGGCAGGGCAGGGCTAGGAAGGGGGATAACGGTGGAGGTTCAGCCTCCACGCTTCAGGAAGAGGACTTGTTCGGTGCAGGTGGTGGGGGTTCTGGGTACAGAACGGGATGGCTGCCTGGGGGCAGGGGAGGAGAGACAGAGCTGTAGGGACCCAGAGGAAGGAATGGTGGGGCAAAAGGAAAGGGGCATTGGAGCCCAATGAATGGAGGTCGGGGGCTCCCTGGGAAAGGAAACTGCGGTGCCAAGGGCTGGGGTGCTGTGGGTGTGGTCGCCTCCCCACTGCTAACTGCTCTTTACATCTTCATTTCTCCCCTCCCAGAGGCCAAGTTACAGAAGTTTGACCTCTTCCCCAAGGCCCTGCTTCAAGCAGGCCGGCCGGGCAGCCCGCCCCCGCCACCTGGGAAGCCCTTATCGCCCGACGGTGCGGACTCGGGTCCCGGGACCTCATCCCCGGAGGTGCGGCCAGGCTCGGGCTCCGAGAACGGCGAC